GAAGGTTATGTGGTCATCAATGGATTTGGTCTTTATTTATTTGTTCAAAGATTATTTTTTTATTCTGATACCTTATTACTATTGAGCGGATTTTTATGCATTTATCATATTTTTTGATAACATCTAAATTAATGTGGAGTAAGATAGAAATTTGTTTCATCACCTAAAGAATTCAAATTTACCAATTTAATTTTGTATATCTTAGGACTTAACAGTGATTGTGATTTTGGTAAATCAATTGCTGCAAATTATTTCTGTAGGTTGTGTAAAGCGCATAAAACATTAACCCATACATTAAGCAAAGAAGATGCCACGTTGATAAGTAACATTGAAAATTATGAACAAAACGTAGATATCAATGATTTTTCCCAAACAGGGATTAGTCAAAATAGTATTTTGAACAACATAAATTGTTGTCATGTTACTACAAACGTTTGTGTTGATGTAATGCATGACATATTTGAAGGCTTCTACAATTTTAGTGAATCGCCAATTCACACATATTCAACCAGTACATTACCAGTACAGCAGTACCAGTACTTACCATTAAGACAACAGTTTTCTCTTGATGAAGTTTTAAACAAAACTACACAAGAAGCTTGGATAACCAAATATTATAAATGCAATAATAGTTTGAATGGAAGTTGTAAAAATCTTTTGGTGGATTAAATAATTGCCAGTCTTCTTGAAAAAAATCATCCAATGACTGTGGTATTAGCAAACAACATTGCTGATACCATTGTTATAATCTTCACCGCCGAAATAAAGGTAATTTATATTAAAACTATGCCATATTAATAAACTTATGTATATTTATCTCCAAGTATTATAGTTATATTTGTTTTACAGGAAACATACTTTACAAAAAATGGTGCAAAAAATTTTCCCTAAAAGAAAACTGTATTCAAAATATTTTAATAAGCTTAGAAGTTTCAAAAGTCAAGGATATACAGTATATTCACAATTGTCGAAAGTAAAAAATAATAATGAAAAAGAAATGCTAACACACGTTTTTGAGGAACTAAAAACATGAAGAGCTATGGAGAAAATAAATGGAAAAGAACTACGGGTTACCGGTTAAAAAAATTCAAAACAAATTTTTCATTAGTCGAAATTCATAATATGGCCCCAATACACACAGCCACTTAGTTAAAAACTTGTAAGTAAAAATGATTGTTTAAAACTCGTGAAACGTCATTTGATCAGATAAATAATATCCGGCGACAAATGATCCGGTAGATAATAACCCGGTGGCAAAATAACCGGCATCAAAAAAATATCCCATGACAACGATAACCGGCGATAATCAGTTTTCTGGTTTTCGTGTTGTATAAATACAACACACTACAACACTTTAACACAACACAACACAACACAACTTCAACACATTAACACCTGTAAGGTTTTTCGACATTACTTTTAATAAAATTAAATATGCCACTCTAGTCTCGCACGGACAGCCAAACCGTGTGGTCACGCAATCATCGTTAATCCTCATGTTAAAAATAATCGCCTTAATTCCACCCGATTTTTTCGTGCTAACAACCACTGTAGTAGGCCCCTGCGTCTAAGAGCGGCTCCAATCCTCATAGAGGGGAAAAAAAATAAAAGACAAAATACCCCGTAAGTACATACAAATACGTTAGTGTATGATACATATTTATCTTATCTCTTCTCCAAGGCATCGCCGGCGCGGTGACCTTTGGACCGGCGATTACTCTGATCCACCGACAATTATCGTATTTTTATAATGAACAATCAAACTGCAAGCACCACTTATCGTAACAAAATTACACTAGTCAAAAACATGCCTAATCAAAATTCGTCACAAGCTATTTCTAAACAAAAACAAAGAACAGGATCTATCGACACTACAAATAGTTCACATGGAACTCGTATACAGAGTGGTTCAAATGACGTTTTCAATTCTTCCGATTCAACGGACGGAAACGATGACAAATTTATAACGCAAATAAAACAAAAATACGTCAAAGCGAAACCATTCATCGACAGACACTGCCAGCCCCGAACCTAAGAAAGTCAAACCATTATTTATAACGGTAAACAGATTTGCACCACTTTCAATCGATGACACCACTGCGATCGAAAAGATCGAAAACAATCCCACTTCCCACGACAACTCAACCCCATCCGATGACCAAAATAATAAAAGAAAACTTCTGCCACCAATTTATGTCCGTGGTATCCTTGACTTTGTTGAAGTGCGCAATGAACTAATTAAACTAATTGGTACAGACGCATATACTTGCAAATCATCTATAAACGATTTAAAAATCCAAACATCAGATTCTAAATATTACCGTTAAGTAATCCACTTTCTGAAAGATGACTGTCAAGAATATGGACACACAAGAAAATACTGCTCATACTCCACCAGATGTGTCCGTTGCGGAGGCCACCATCCTTCCTCCAGTTGCAATAAATCAAACGACTCACCTGCCAAATGTGCCCTGTGTGAGGGTGACCATCCAGCGAACTATAAGGGATGTCACATTTACAAGGACCTCCAACGCTTCCGGAAGCCAAATTCGAACAGTCATGTCACCCAAAACAACGTCACTAAAGGTCGTAATAATATAAATATTAATAATTGTAAAGCCTCCCAGCAGCAAACACCCGACATAAACTCACCTCCTCGTACTTATGCCCACGCAACATCAGGCCACATTCCCAACACAGAATCCAATGATAACTCTCTGACAAATTTTCTAAGTGAATTTAAAGCTTTAATTAACCCGCTGTTATCTCTCCTCACCACTGTCCTCGATCGTCTTCTCGCTCAAAATGTTAAATAACACATTCACCTCTCAGTCCCTAGCCATCCTACTTTGGAATGCCAATGGCCTAGCCAATCACAGAAACGAACTAATTACAGCATTAAACGAAAAACGAATAGACATAGCATTCATCTCAGAAACACATTTTACGTCCAACTCCAAATGTTCTTTTCCCGGGTACCAAACCTTTTCCTCATGCCATCCCGACAACACCGCCCACGGTGGTGCCGCCATCATTATCAGATCATCATTCCAATTTACCGCTGCCCCCCCAGTTAATAACGACTTTCTACAAGCGGTGATAGTTAATATTAATTTAAACCACGTGCCAATAACCGTTGCAGCAGCATACTGTCCCCCCAAATATAAAATCACGCCTTCACAATTTGATTCCTTTTTCAACTCTCTTGGTCGCTACTTCATTGTAGGAGGCGATCTAAACGCCAAAAACCAAACTTGGGGCTGTTACTCAACAAATCCAAAAGGACTCTCTTTTTTCCAATCAATCTATATATTATCTGTATATATATCCGTGTACATTTTTTTATATAAAAATGGTAAAAAAAAAGTCAGGGGAGGGATCCTCCACAGTAACTAAAAAACTAGACATGAGTCTACCTAACTAATATATTAAACTTTAGACTGTAGAGCAATGTCTAGTATTCCAGCAAACAGCTACACAAGATAAGGTAGTTTGAAACTTTTCATATTTATTCGTAAATCATGCTCTGAAAACTAAGAGTATCTGATTTTTATTTACAACTTAAAATCTTTTTGGACAACAAATAGGTACTATTCAATACATAAACGTTTAAAAATTTAAAATAGCCTTACTCTTTGATTTTAAATAATTTTATAATAAAAAAAACTAAAACAAACAACTTAGATATAACAAACTTTTACAATTAATAAAATAAAAACGATATACTACGAATACAGTTTTTCTCTATATTTTAAAGGAGTGGCCAGGAACCGGCGGCCTGCTTGACTATTCCATAAAACCATTATTATTTAGAATATCTTAATACGGCTCCAGAGTTTAAAAAGAAACCTAGCTAAAAATAACATAATTCATAAAAGTACAGCTGTTTAAATGTGTTGTTTTATAATATTGTATTAATGTTAAATAAATAATTGTGCAAGGTGTTGTAAAACGTTTCCACATTGTTGCGATCCAGATGTGGAGTTCGGTTGACAAGGGTCGAATCAAATGAATTTACTCGTAGATAAATTAATTATTGTTATATTTTTATTGACGTTGTAGATTAGTGTTTAAACACTCAGAGTAATGTTACAATTTAAGACAAATATCTCTGGCATGAATACTGTCAACTAGTCGTCACGCAGAAATAGTGTGACTGGTCTCCCTGATGTGGGGCCTTTATACTAGTATATACTCGACAAACAGTCAGATTACATGGTCTTTTACAAGGTCCTACTTAAGTATTCACAACGGATCTTTTATCAACTTTTCCTTGTGACACTTATTAATAGTAATTAATATATTGTGCCACGTATGCCGTGTGTAATACTGTCTTAATAATATCTTCGCGTGTGGTCACTCTTACCTTGGCTATCTCAACAACATTCTTCATAAACATAATTGAGATTTCATACATTATATTATTATGTACCTACATTATAAAATAATTTAATTTTACTACCTACTTATTTTAAACGAATCCAAATTAATACAACTTGAATTTACAAGCATCGTTTACTTAACATTTACTTACAAGTTATTGATCTACTTCATATTTTGTATTATTTTATTACAACTTCTCAGCAGTGTGTCTATGAAGACTACTATGGATTTTTAATCATTTGAATTTGCTTTTTCAATGTTTACAATCACTGTCTTAGTTATAATAAACAATTTTTCTGAGTCAATATTTTGGCTTTTATATTAGGTACCATGATAACGATGGTATTGGTATTGCCCATATTTTATCAAAACCGGTCATAAGTAAAAGTACCTAATAATTATCAGGTTAGTTAGGATAGTAAAGCCCTAGTATACCCCCCACTTCAATAACTTTCACCAGGATCTATGTATATAATAATAATAAATGTCTTGAAAAAAGCATGATTAAAATTTGTTATTTTACAATCATTGTTGAAATGTAGCAACGATTTATTTATAATATCTATTCTAAATTGTCTTTCAGGTATGTGTATTGACATAAGAAAAATTCACATAAATGTAATTAAAATAATTATTATATTATCATTACATGAGCATAATTTACAACGTAACAGGTAAAATTTCACGATATTCAAGTAGGTAGCAACTAGCAGCTATGTATGTTGACCGACAAGAAACAAACCGCACCGTTTTGTTATACGATTTAAATGATCGAAACACTAACCGCTTGCAACAGTATTTCTATAAGGGAGTTGATTTCTTCATTTGTTAGTTTAATACTTGCGAGAAGTCTAATGCTGGGAGTGGGAATCTTGTATTCACGATCACTCAAATACGCAGCTGTCGTTATCGCTACTCCTTTTGATATACACTGAAACAAAATTTATAATATCATAAGCCAATGTTAAAAATTGTTTAACTGAAAAGTATTTTGATGGTTACCCACCATCAACTGATTTTAATATTGTTGGTAAATATTTGGTAGCTTTTTGGAGCTTACAGGGTGAAAAATTAATTAATGGCACTTATATTTTTTTGAATCTTACTAAAATTAAGAAAGAGTTCAGACAGTGGAGTATGCAGGATTTTTGAATGAGGGGAGGGGGCTTGAAAATGTATAGTTACAATTTTATTTTTATCTTGTCCAGGCTACTAATTTTCTGACATGTAGTTGAAGTATTTGAAAAAGTTTGTACAACTTCAACTTCTTAACTCTTCTAGTTGAAAAATGCTCTTATTATCAACTTTGAAGAAGGTTTTTAGTAGAAAATTGTACCTAATTAGTACTTTAGGGAAGCAAAATTTGAAAATTCTCATCACTATTTAAAATACCAAATCGAGAAAAAAAATTGTTTAGTAACCTAAGTTAAACAGTCTTAGTTTTTATTGTCTTTGACTAATTCAATTTTTTTTTTAAAACATCTAAAAAAAATTATTCATTCTTTTAAAAAGCCTAAAAATACAAGGTCCCTCATAAGATTTATTATGGCTTTTTAAAAATATATAAACAACACTGGAACAATCATTTTTAATAAGCATTTCAAGTTCAAATGTTAACAGAACCACAATTAATTTGTAGTTAAAAATATATAAATATACAAATTAAATTATGAGTACCTCCTAAATAAGGTCTACGATTTATGACTTACGTAATCAACAATTTTTTTCAATATTTGCTGTTGTTCAGAGTGTAATAGAGACTTATCTATTAGGTATAAATGTTTAAGTGGACTTGATTCATCAGACCCAAGAGTAAAGTGTTCGGTCAGTTGGCTATTGCAAATACTTTGATGTAGACTTGTGCTCCTTTCTCGCAGTTTTTCTAAAATTTCTGGATGTTTCTCAATCTGGTCCAAAGCTTTGATGGCGGCCGCTGATAGTAATGGCGGTAGCGATGCAGAAAAACAGTATCCTGAAAATTAAATACATTAAACATCATACTCTATTTTAGAGAACCTTCAAATGTAAAATTAGCAAATTAAGTACTTTAGGCTATTATGAATATATAAAACTCTTGATTTTATGCAACTACATTTTGTAGGTTTCAAATAAATAACAAACAAATAAAACTACAGAAAACAAAAAATTGTATAGGCAGTTGAAATTATTTAAATTACAAGGACGACAGGACATGCTAGAATATTATCACTCAAAATTTAAAAAATGAAATTAGTATGTCTTATACTTTCAATAATTTACTGGTGTACCTAATACGAGCTATGAATTTTATATAATATTATATTAATCGTTTTAGCTTCATATTTTTATTTTATTTTTATTAAATATACAGAATAAATCCTTTAACATACATACACATTATACATATTACATTCATACACATCAATTGTACAGTTTATGATATAAATATTTAAATTAATGGCTTGACAGTAATTTATAGGTATAGAAGACACGAAGGGTCGACATTGACATCATAAAACAATTGGTTCATTTTTAAGATANAATGTTAAATAAATAATTGTGCAAGGTGTTGTAAAACGTTTCCACATTGTTGCGATCCAGATGTGGAGTTCGGTTGACAAGGGTCGAATCAAATGAATTTACTCGTAGATAAATTAATTATTGTTATATTTTTATTGACGTTGTAGGTTAGTGTTTAAACACTTTTTTAAACACTCAGAGTAATGTTACAATTTAAGACAAATATCTCTAGCATGAATACTGTCAACTAGTCGTCACGCAGAAATAGTGTGACTGGTCTCCCTGATGTGGGGCCTTTATATACTAGACAAACAGTCAGATTACATGGTCTTTTACAAGGTCCTACTTAAGTATTCACAACGCATCTTTTATCAACTTTTCCTTGTGACACTTATTAATAGTAATTAATATATTGTGCCACGTATGCCGTGTGTAATACTGTCTTAATAATATCTTCACGTGTGGTCACTCTTACCTTGGCTATCTCAACAACATTCTTCATAAACATAGTTGAGATTTCATACATTATATTATCGTGTACCTACATTATAAAATAATTTAATTTTACTACCTACTTATTTTAAACGAATCCAAATTAATACAACTTGAATTTATAAGCATCGTTTACTTAACATTTACTTACAAGTTATTGATCTACTTCATATTTTGTATTATTTTATTAAAACTTCTAAGCAGTGTGTCTATGAAGACTACTATGGATTTTTAATCATTTGAATTTGCTTTTTCAATGTTTACAATCACTGTCTTAGTTATAATAAACAATTTTTCTGAGTCAATATTTTGGCTTTTATATTAGGTACCATGATAACGATGGTATTGGTATTGCCCATATTTTATCAAAACCGGTCATAAGTAAAAGTACCTAATAATTATCAGGTTAGTTAGGATAGTAAAGCCCTAGTATACCCCCCACTTCAATAACTTTCACCAGGATCTATGTATATAATAATAATAAATGTCTTGAAAAAAGCATGATTAAAATTTGTTATTTTACAATCATTGTTGAAATGTAGCAACGATTTATTTATAATATCTATTCTAAATTGTCTTTCAGGTATGTGTATTGACATAAGAAAAATTCACATAAATGTAATTAAAATAATTATTATATTATCATTACATGAGCATAATTTACAACGTAACAGGTAAAATTTCACGATATTCAAGTAGGTAGCAACTAGCAGCTATGTATGTTGACCGACAAGAAACAAACCGCACCGTTTTGTTATACGATTTAAATGATCGAAACACTAACCGCTTGCAACAGTATTTCTATAAGGGAGTTGATTTCTTCATTTGTTAGTTTAATACTTGCGAGAAGTCTAATGCTGGGAGTGGGAATCTTGTATTCACGATCACTCAAATACGCAGCTGTCGTTATCGCTACTCCTTTTGATATACACTGAAACAAAATTTATAATATCATAAGCCAATGTTAAAAATTGTTTAACTGAAAAGTATTTTGATGGTTACCCACCATCAACTGATTTTAATATTGTTGGTAAATATTTGGTAGCTTTTTGGAGCTTACAGGGTGAAAAATTAATTAATGGCACTTATATTTTTTTGAATCTTACTAAAATTAAGAAAGAGTTCAGACAGTGGAGTATGCAGGATTCTTCAATGAGGGGAGGGGGCTTGAAAATGTATAGTTACAATTTTATTTTTATCTTGTCCAGGCTACTAATTTTCTGACCTGTAGTTGAAGTATTTGAAAAAGTATGTACAACTTCAACTTCTTAACTCTTCAAGTTGAAAAAATGCTTTTATTATCAACTTTGAAGAAGGTTTTTAGTAGAAAATTGTACCTAATTAGTACTTTAGGGAAGCAAAAATTGAAAATTCTCATTACTATTTAAAATACCAAATCGAGAAAAAAAATTGTTTAGTAACCTAAGTTAAACGGTCTTAGTTTTTATTGTCTTTGACTAATTCTAATTTTTTTTTTAAAACATCTATAAAAAATTACTCGTTCTTTTAAAAAGCCTAAAAATACAAGGTCCCTCATAAGATTTATTATGGCTTTTTAAAAATATATAAACAACACTTTAACAATCATTTTTAATAAGCATTTCAAGTTCAAATGTTAACAGAACCACAATTAATTTGTAGTTAAAAATATATAAATATACAAATTAAATTATGAGTACCTCCTAAATAAGGTCTACGATTTATGACTTACGTAATCAACAATTTTTTTCAATATTTGCTGTTGTTCAGAGTGTAATAGAGACTTATCTATTAGGTATAAATGTTTAAGTGGACTTGATTCATCAGACCCAAGAGTAAAGTGTTCGGTCAGTTGGCTATTGCAAATACTTTGATGTAGACTTGTGCTCCTTTCTCGCAGTTTTTCTAAAATTTCTGGATGTTTCTCAATCTGATCCAAAGCTTTGATGGCGGCCGCTGATAGTAATGGAGGTAGCGATGCAGAAAAACAGTATCCTGAAAATTAAATACATTAAACATCATACTCTATTTTAGAGAACCTTCAAATGTAAAATTAGCAAATTAAGTACTTTAGGCTATTATGAATATATAAAACTCTTGATTTTATGCAACTACATTTTGTAGGTTTCAAATAAATAACAAACAAATAAAACTACAGAAAACAAAAAATTGTATAGGCAGTTGAAATTATTTAAATTACAAGGACGACAGGACATGCTAGAATATTATCACTCAAAATTTAAAAAATGAAATTAGTATGTCTTATACTTTCAATAATTTACTGGTGTACCTAATACGAGCTATGAATTTTATATAATATTATATTAATCGTTTTAGCTTCATATTTTTATTTTATTTTTATTAAATATACAGAATAAATCCTTTAACATACATACACATTATACATATTACATTCATACACATCAATTGTACAGTTTATGATATAAATATTTAAATTAATGGCTTGACAGTAATTTATAGGTATAGAAGACACGAAGG